ATAGTACAGAAGTACTTAATAGTTAATTTGATTACATTATTAATTACATAAACATTTGTATGCATGGAATGTTTTACTTTTTTTTAAACAACAGGGTAAGAAAAGGGCTTTAAATATACAAGAGGGATGAACATTGAAAATGAAAATTGATTGCCTGTTGATAATATAGCAGAAGACATTGAAATAGGTTATTGAGTCTCCTGCCTTGGTGGACCATTAAGAAGTCAGTACTCCTCCTGAATGGTTTAGAATGGGTGTCACAAACCTAAAAACTTAGGGACCATGTAGATAACATAATGTTCAAATCAGCTAAGTATAAGAAAGTAAGAAATGATTGGGGGCCTGTGAATGGCTTGTTATTTTCCTGTCCAGATATTTCACTTGCCAGGAATTTATCTCATGATTCCTCCTGAGTGAACATTTTAATAAAAATTTGGATATAAAATTTGGAAAAGTGGGGTAAAATTTAGATATATATTAGTGGCAATTCGACCAAACTGCCTTCTCCCACTTAGCTTCAATTTGTGGAGTTCCTATATTAATATTTTATTATGATCAGTTTTCTATTGGTATGTTAACTTGAGGAAAATCATTTAATCAAAATGTAACTAGGAGATGAGTAGCTTTATGTTTTACTTTTCTATATATTGAAGTAATTTAAAAAAGTTTTAGAACTAGCAAAAAAAAAAAAAAAACCCTCTACATCTTCAAAAAGTAGCCATCACTGTAATTTATGCCACCCATCAAAATATTTTACCTAAATCAACTTAAGTATGTTCTCCTGGTCTTTTTTGACTCTTAGTAAATTTTAAGTAATGAATTGCTGTTTTTATGATAATGATAATCTGTGCTCATACATTTTTTTCCTTTCGAAACTTTGGACAACTGTGTGAAAATAATCAGAGTTTGAGTTAGAAGTTCTAAGTAAGCCTAGAATTTTCTTGGTTTTCTCTCAGATAAAATTTTGAACTATTCCTAGAATTTTCATGCCTTTTCTTGATTCCCTGGTACACATTCAGTCTAGGTAGTCCTCATGGTTCTGGTTGATTTAAGATCGTTTCTCGCCAAATGAAACTTACTTTTATTATGCCCCTTCTTTACTAAGTCAGTAATCTGATGAATCGTGTCTTTGCTCAGTTTATTTACTCATTCAAGAAATATTGAGAGCCTACCGTGAACTAGGCATTGTGGCTAAAAAGATTAATAAAACCAGGTTTCCTTTTCGTTTTTCTCTTTCTCTCTTTCTCTCTTTCTCTCTTTCTCTCTTTCTCCCTTTCTTTCCTTCCTTCCTTCCTTCCTTCCTTCCTTCC